TCCCCTGCCTACACTACATTTACATTCTAATTAGATGTGGCCCAGGCTGCTTCATAAGGACTCTTTTTAATAATATGGCAGTATTCACCTTTTCACAGTCCCGTCGTGAGTGTGAAGGGGAAAAAAAGAAAAGAAAAACACTTTATATATCTTGTCCTTTTGACATTGTATCCGCGCTGAATTAAAGCAGCTTTTAAAGCCTTGAGCTCTCCAGTGAGTACAGTCTTAAAGGGCGGTCTTCTAGTCTTTAGAGGGTGAATTATAAAATCAATGGAGACGCCGTGTCAAAGAAGGAGCAGTAGTATGAAAACAGCACACCAATCGCACCTAATACGTCCAGAACAGTGAGGCATCAAGCATGTTTAATTGTCGTCCCTGTAGAGCTGCCTGTAAGATGTCTTTGAATTATACATTAGTCATAGCTACTCTTCCATGACAGCGTCCATATGAACCTCGTCGACTGATACACTTTGAAAATGAATAATTTAATCCGCCGTAATTTACTGCAACTTGCAGCTTCTTGAGTGGACGTTAGGACACAGATGAGATTTCCCTGCGTTTTCACAGACGGCGTTCTGTCGCACATGAACACCACGACGCTAAACTGAGATCGATAGTGTGACTGATTGATGTAGATCTAGTTGATTTTCAGTCATGTGGTTTCAACAACCAGCTGCTTTTAATGCTGTTTGAAGCCTTTGTAAAGAAAAGATCCTTTATATCTGGACGCCGCTTTGTTAGGAAGTCCTTATTAGATCCATTGGACATACGTGTGGGTTATTTTATGTTTATGTTTAAAACAAAGGGCTGACACATGAATTTTATTTACGTCCTCTGTGATGCTCTTGCCTCCAGCTGACTTCTCTGTTTCCCATCTGCTCGTGTATGAAAATGTGAACCTGGAGGCTCTGACAATAAATCCACTTCTAATGAATTATTACAACAACGTGGGAGGATTTTTCTCAATCTCTATCTGTTCTTAGTTGTTACTTCACTGTTTGCAAAACCACCGTAGGCTTGAAGAATTCAGCTGTGTCTGCAAATGCAAATGTGACTCGCTGTAAATAATGAACCTTTCTGCCCATTCATTCCAAGTTTCCAGGTTAGTGGAGTTGGCAGTGATTGACTGTCACTGTTTGGAATGGAAAATAAGGCGGTTGTTCTTCGACAGGAATTCTCATTCATGTCAACCTTAAGGCAAAATTGTATTTAATTTATTCAAAAGAACCTCCCTGTGAAACCGTTGCTCAGATAAACAGCACCATTAGCTGTTTTTATTTGAGAAGTAGCATTTGAGTTGTTACTGAGGTTTAGCTGGCTGTAAATACAAATGCCAGTCATGTAATTCCTGGAAATGCACTGTGTGTGTTGGTTGTTTTTAGCCTGCAGTGGAGCAAAGTGCAAGCAGGTGATGAATAGAGTTAAATAGCTGACTTGTAAAGCAGGGCTGGAATGTGGAAGTGATGAAGTGAACTGCTTTGTCTCTAATATTAAAATTACTGTTAAACCTTGAAACGTGTCAAAATGATCACAGATAAAATGACATCATCATTCCACCAGGGAAAGTTTTATTTTTACCTATTTAACCCAATGGAAGAAGTATGCGCAGAATTATATAAATATTTCCAGCCTCCATTCACTTATCGTTGCTCTAATAAATAGTCAATACACATGTTGCCGTTGCCTCACAATGGAAGGAAATCATTTTTGTTTCACTGAAGCACTTGAACCTTAAACTACCTTCACTATCTCAGTGGATTGTGGCTCAAACTTCAGGTCAGACGTTGAGGTTGGTCAGTGAATACGTCTGCAGCTGAGACTGACTGAAATAACTGTCAAATACATTGTGAGGTCTCATAGACTGATCAATACGGTTGAGAACTGGAGCTTCACCCAAGGTTTTAAAAGTCAACTCCTGTCACGTTCAACAGTACGAGCCAGCGACTCTGTGAAGCTACATTTTGAGTTCTTCTTTTGCATATTTCTTTCCTTATCAATCATTCCATCATTTAAATTTAAACAAATAAAGACAGGTGTGAAACACACACATTTACCTACTCTTATTAGTCTTTGTGTTCTATCAATATACAGAAAAATGCTCTCTGCCATATTGAGGAATATTGATTAATCTCCGTTAATTGTGATTAATCTACGGCTCCCCTAATTGGATTAACTGTTTTCATTGTTTGACAAGTACCAGATCAGTTGTTAAGAGTTCCGTGTTTGAATGAAACTCCAGGACTGCAGTGCTGCAGCAGACGGAGGGAAACTTTTTCTGGTCTTCTCTCTTTCATGGATGTTCAGCTATTAGGTGGTTGTTTATTGTGTACATATAAATAAACGCAGGAGAAGACACCTGCGCCAAGTCGCTGCAGATGGCATCAGGTCTACGAGGAGAATAATTTGGAGTTTGAGCCGCAGCCTGGTATTATACATATTCAACAGAATATTCTCGGTGAGAACACTTTAACTCTGACTGCAGTGTCAACAGGAGCCATAAAACACCTCTTTGTTTTTCAAGCCTTGGGAAGTTTGGGAAACTAATCCACTGAAGTGAAACTGAAACCTCACCAATTTAATGTGGGTTGATGCATTTGTGCTTCCAGTTTGCTTCCAGCACAAAATCAATGTTAGTTTACTGTGTGACTCTGTTGTGGAACTTAAGATTGCACACAATTAAAGTGGTTTCTGTCAGCAGATCTTTCCCTTGAAATAATCAGTGTCTGTTCTGCTGGACTCTGGGATGCAGGAACTCAGCACTGGTCAGATGTGTGCAGGTGGAAACAGGGAGCTGAGGGTTGTTTTGTTTTGTTTTTCCTCTTTGCTTAATTAGTCTAAGAACGACTGCTCATGTCACAGTGGATTTTAAACCGTTATTGACAAAACAGTCTTTACTGTTGACGGTGAATGGTTTTTAATTCTTTATGATTAACACGGACAGTTTGTGTTACAGATTAAATATGAGTTTAATGTCTACCTCGTTGTTGATGGTCTGTTTGTGAAGAGCAGTGACGTCAGTTAGGGACGTAACCATACACTCAACTCACGATGTGATTTGGAAAATTCTTTTGGAACAGTATGATCTCCAGACAACTTATGACCAAATACAATGATCCTTTATTTGTAAGAACTATTAATAACAGTCTTGTTTACATCATCTTAAATTGTTATCTTAAACAACAGAATACAAAAAATGCACATCTTCTTCACAGAAACTCTGCACATCACCATTTATCTCCTCTCACTGACCTCACTAACTGTCAGTATACTAAACAACAAAAGAATAGAAGTATATATGGTTATAAAGAATTATTAAAAGTAAATAAAACATCTCTTGTCACGTTTACATCAAAGATAAAATATCTGTCACTTTAAGGTTGTAAAAACGCAGGATTCTTAAGAATGAAAAAAAAAACCTCAACTGTTTGATGTTAGAAGTCTTATTTTGACACATTGAAACCCTGGTATTAAACATACTGTAGCGTCAGTGAGAGAAGAGAGTTTGTGGGGGAGAATGTGGGTGTCTGTCACTGTTGACAAACCTGAACTGCTTACACGTCAAGAATGGCAGACAGTAACTAGGCGTAGGTAGTCAAGGGAGACAACGACTGGTCAAACAGCTCTCTCCTAATGAGTGAGCTCGTTCAACATACAAACAATGAAGCTAATTTGATGGGCTTGTCTCACGGTGTGTACTGAGAACAAGGCAGACTAAGAAACTGCTGTCGGAATAGTCTGGAGTTTGTCTTTACTCTGTCAACTAGTGATCTTCATTTTGTATTTCCATGGTTGTGTAAAATTGTTATCGACCATCAGGGAAAATATGGAGGAGATTTTGATGATTTAGTTTGAAGTTAAGATTCGTTTTCCTCCGTGTTCAATCAAAAACTCTGCGACTTTGGTTTCAATAATGCTGTTTGTCTCAGTAATGATGACAAGTGAGCCTTAAATATTGTCAGTGTGACTTTATTTCTCAAAGCGCCTGTGACAAACTGTAGTTAGCGTGGGACTAAACTGCCTCCGTGACATACTGTTGGTAGCAGAAATCACTTAGCCATTACAGCCCCTCAGTGTCTGTGGGAACTGCTGGAGGCAGGAAGGTTTGGACAGACGGAGAGATGCAGAGAGACTGCTTTCTCTGCAGTTGGGAAGCGAGGACGATGCTTCTCCGTCACCCCTTGCAAACAGCATGCCAACACCAGACTCCAACAGCACCTTCTCTATCCACTTGTCAATGCAGCAGCTCTGCAGAGCAGGAAGGGAATGTAAATTAGCTGTGACTAACAGCAACAAGGGAATCCAGGCAATGGTTTCCCTCCTCTTTCGCTGTTCTCCCTGGCTACTGAGTGTTTTGTGTCCTCGCCCCTCCCGATCCCCTCAACCCCTCCCCCAACTCCTAATTGCAGCACTCACTGGGAAAAGACGGCTCTTAAAAGTGCCATCGCGGCAGAAGAGTTACGATACGCCAGCTTTACCTCGCGGGCTATTGCATCGTGTTTCTTTTTCTTTTTCACCTTCACACTGAAGTATTTGACAGCTGCACAGGTCCTTGCATGTTTCCCCCTCTGTGCAGAGCAGTATCTAATCACACAGTTGCACCAGCACGGCTTTTGTAGTAACACATTCTTTTGTTGTTAAATGGAGATATTGTTGGACAGATTTTTACTGCCTTCTGAGAGGAGACTCTAAAGAGGATCAGGGACAGGTGTGGGTGGCTCTGCTGGCAGAGTGTGAATAATGTGAGGTGGAAAACTGTTTACATAAAAGCAGTGCGTGCAGACACCTGTGTTGCTAGTGAGTCAGACTTGTTGTTTAAAGCCCTTTAAGTCAGCATTACGAGTAGAATAAGGGGCTTGTTGTTTAAAGCCCTTTAAGTCAGCGTTACGAGTAGAATAAGGGTTTTTTTTTTATTGGTTCCTAGAATTGTTTGTTCATAATTAACTATAATAAACCATAATTCATAAAATTAAATGAAACCTTTTAGTCCATTATCATTACAGGTAATTCATCAAGGACATTCTGGCCAATGGGACTAGTATTCTGGAACTCTCTTTTTAAGGTGGGCAACTATAAATATATTACAATTCACAGCATAAATCATCATGGGAGTAAATGTGTATACTATATTTGAAGTACTGTTTATTGTTTCAGCATGTAGTCAATTCATTCTTGGACTATTTTGACCATGGTTTTAATATTAACTCTGGTGCCTTCTGTTTGTAGTAGTAGGAAAGAGTAGATATGTATTCATTGCAGTACTTGGGCTGTGATCATAGTACACTGTTAGTGGCTAGAATTACCATTAGGGATTAAAGTTACTGCACTAAAATAGTAAAGGTCCTACTTTTCAGTTTGTTCATGAACACGAGTAAAAATGTGGAGTTCAACAAGGTTCATCACAGCTCACTTTTAACCAGGATTTAAAAATTATTCACAAAAACCTTGCATTTTCTGTTCAAAGAGGGAAAGTAGACACACATTCATCATTTGTTCTGTGGTTCAGTCAACACTTATTATTCTTCACAGGCAAAGCTGTACTCAAACTATTATTAATGTTATGATTGTCATTCTTACTACAGGGAATTTGTGGCACACTGAAGCAGACTAAATCCTGCATTTTAATTTTCCCAGTGCGTAGCCAGTTACCCAGAAAGAAGGAGACGCAGAGATTCTTCTGATTATTATTGCAAGGAAGCTGATAGACCTGCATGTTATTGATTCAAGGGAGGATGTCAGTGGACCTCTGCTGCAGTCCAATAAATACTCTCTGCTCCACTGGCCTCGGATTTTCCAGGGATTATCTAAGTCCATTTTCTATCATTGATGAGTAGCGTCCTCCCCTCAAATGTAATAGGAACAGCATACGTGCTGTCATTTTTACGATTGTGTAACGGCGAATATCCAAGTGTGGTCTGGCGTATTTATGTGTGTGCCTGTGTGTTCCGCCGTCTTGATGAAGGAAAGGTTGTCCTCAGCAGGCAACCTGTGCCTATTTTTATGGCCTCCTCCCCAGCTGCAGCGTGTGGGCAATAAACCTCTCCAGCAATCTCCAAACAGTGCAGCAATCAATGGGAAATTATCTCAGCCAATCGATGGGCCAGCCTTTCCATTTCTCCCTCTCTCTAACTCTGCCTCTGTCCTCCTCCGTATCATTTTCTCCCTGCTCCCCTCCCAGCCTCTGTCCCTCTCCTCTTCCCGGGGCTCATTTTTGCTGTCTCTCTGTTTTTTCCACCTCCTCCTTCACTCACACCCCCCCCCCCCCCCCCCCCCCCCCGCCCCCTTCTTTGCTTGCATTCCTTCCAGGTCTCTCAGCTCTGCCGCACCGACACTCAATTGCGACAGCTCAGCAGCTCCAAAGCCATTAACAAAAGTCGCCTTCACACGTGGAATATGTAATGCTGTTGGACGGACATTCCTGGAGAATACAGCGAGTCTGAGTGGTTCATACAACCACACAGTGTACCTTCTGACAGCCATGACAACAAGGCTGCTCAGTGCAGTGTCTGTTGTTGCTGTTGTCCCAGTTTTTCCATCATTAGTTGCACAGAACATTGTTGTTTTCTCCCCCATTCCACTTATGGATTTATTTTAATGAGGTCATAAAATTGCCTGAAGAGTGCTTCTCCAACTGTTACTCTGGAATAAGAAGTGGTTTCCAAAGTTCAGTCCTTAAAGAGCATAAATACTCACTGACAGAGCTGACAGTACAGCTGTTAATGTCACGGCTCCGCTGGACGCTTTCACACATCGGCTCGAGGACGTTGACTAATCCTGAACAGAGACACAAATAATCCCGAGAATGAAACTAAACTGATGATTTAACAGGGAGAAAAACAAATATCTCTCCATTTCAAAAGAGGCAGTGAAAATTCAGAGAGAATATTGTATTTGTCAGCCATTGATCTTCATGTGGAATCATTTGCTGGAAGTTGAGTGTCTTTGTTAACGTCTTTAGAGGACAACACGTCAGTGTCTGCTTGTCACTCTGCCTTCATGAGGCAAATCTTAGCTCAAGGATCAAGAATCTGTTTCTTTATTTTAATTAAATAAAAACACAAAACATTAATATCTCATTACAGGGTGTCATCGACTGACGGCGTGAGTCAGAACTCACATATTGTATATAAGTACATCATCTACGCTAACAGAGGTGACATCATAATCTAGGACAAAAACATCAGAAGAGTCTGACTTAATCTTGGGAGTCATAATGAACATAAGAAAGCAAATGTAGCACAGTCCAGTGTGTGGCGTACACCTCGTGGATGTAAACAGAGGCGTCCTCCGCATATAGCGCCACATGACAACGTATTCATCCGCTCCACTCGCAAAGTAGATTCAGTGTAAAATGTATCTTAACACTGTATGTCAGAATGACAGAACAAGACTATTAATAAATCTATGGCAGATGCTGACGTAGCCACGAAACAGCGTAGGTCGTAAACTGAGGACTCCTGGTACTGATTCATAGTAATGTGGGTCCTTTTATCAAACTGCTGTTTGGTGTTAGTATAAAACTATTCATGAGGATGGTTGGAGCAGAGCAGGTGGTGCCGTTGTGTTGCATGCCTCGGGTTGTCGGTTCCATTCCCCCAGGTAGATGGCAAAACCTGTAGTGTGAAGTTCTATGGACGCTGTCACTATATAATTACAGAGCATTAACCATTCAGTCAAACAGAGGTAATCAATGGGAACAGACATGCAGTCATGGTCGTTAAAATGAAGCAGTGACTGTTGCACAAGACATTCTGGTCATGTGGTACATACCCCTAGCCACTCAGATATCAGGACGCCCAAATTTTCCTCAATATTGACCCCAGATGTCGTACTCTCAAGACGCCCAAAAGGAAAGGAGTTTGGAAGAGTTACAGCATTTGGAGCGTTAGCAAAATCCTCAGAATAAAAAAAAAACATGTCTGCTTATGCTGGCACCGCAGCGCTCTGGTTCTGGCTCTCCAGAGTTCAGCAGCCTGCCATGGCAAAGAATTTTATGACTTAGTTATTGGGCTTTTAACATCCAATATTCATTTTTCCACTTAAATAAACAGTATAGTTAAACCTCGTCTGCTCAGCGTTTCCAAAAAGCCGTCTTTAAAACTATGTGCATTCGTGTTGGGGCAGATTTATCGGTTAGCATCATCTTGGATAACCTTTTTGGCAACCGCCGTCCGAAAAACATCCAGAGGTGTTTCCACACCTCAACCACACTTGCTCCCGGCTGAACGCAGACACTGACAGCCATTCAGACAGGCTTGGAAATGGAGAGCAAACAACCCTTCTCCTGAACAACTTGTTTACGCTGCGACGACCCACGGAGTTCAGCCATAACGTGACAACACGAAAAAAAGAAAAGCACAAGTGACAGCCTCCACCCCTGCCTGTCACACTTGCATCATTTTCCTCCCTGCCTCAGCCGGAAGGAAAAACATCCAGCTTATGGCACGGCGTGACAAGCAAGGAGGCATGTGTTCAGCAGAAAGTCAGAGTTTATTTTTTTACCTCGCCGGTAAGGATGGCGGTCCATACAGGTTATCAAAATCAAGACTTTTTTCTTCTTTTTTTTTTCTTACCCTGGCACAGTCAGAGAATGCTGTTATAAAATGTGAGTGACAGTGGAAATAATTTATTGCCACGTGTCGATTCCATTTCACTTCACTCTTTTCATACACAGACTTTCTAAAAGCATTAATAAATACAGCAGCATTGTTGGTAATAGTAATAGGATGCCACTAATAGTGGCATTCCAAGTTCATGAGCTTTAGTGAGTGATAATTAGTTAGCGTGGAAATTCTTACAACAACAGTCGTCCCTGTTCTGTGTCATAGAAACGGTGGTTTCCTTAACAACAAGTCGGTGCAGGTGCTTTTCCCCGAGCTGAGCTGCAGAATCCAAAAGGATTAATGACAGGATTGTTACGCTCTTGGCAGACGTGGAAACATGCACAGACACTAACAATCCCTGGATACACCCAAGAGCTGCACTCAGCATTGCATGTGATTATGAAAGGATTGACTGACGATTGCTTTTCCTGCCATCTGTTGGTTTTAATGATTGTGTTAACCTGGCGCATTCATGTCTTTCTTTCATATTCCAGACACGTTTCAAAGCTGAAGAAGAAAAAAAATCCCACATTTCTTTACAAAAGCAGTAAATACTTTTTCATGCTCATTTCTCTAAGCTGGCCTCACCAGTAACACTTCATTAAATCTCTTTCAAACGTAGTATTTTTATTTTAATATTCTGGTAGTTTTATAAATGCTGTCTAATCCACTAAGTTCTTCTCTTCCTCTTACCCGTCTCTGTTCGTTCCTCTAAGACTAGTCGACCGGACGCTGCCTGTAATCTGTAGACCTGGAGCCCTCAGAAAGGTCATCGTGTCCCTTTGATGGTGTTTTGATTCATCCTTTCCTGGTCTTTATTCTCTTACAGGGAAGCTGGAGAGTCAGTACCATCAAGGTGCCAAGAAGGGCCTGGTCCCATCGGCCGCTGACTGACATCACAGGAGAGGCCAACAGAGACTAACAGGATGTGATGTCTTTAAAGTTTGGTTTTCACTTCAATCAATCCTTATGTTTGAGTACACAATGGAATACGTCCAAATGATTATATAAATAAAAAGTCTTTCTATTCAAATGAGGGTAAATTATTTCAGTGTCCAACAGTGAATGAAATGTAGGGTTTAGAGTAAAAAGATTAGTTTTTTGGCTGCTGTTGGTGTCTTCAGATCGGTCTCATCTTGGAACAGGCAGTAGGGTTGGTTCATCAGGAACTTATTGACACAGCTGGAGTGTAACTGATCTTGTGGTTAAAACAGCTTACAAAATAACGTAGTCAAATATGAACTGCTTCCTGACACAGTTTTCAAAAACAGGTTCAAAACAGAGATTCAGTCTCAGAGTCCAGTGAAGTTCATCGTTCCTTTTCTTCTGATCTTCTTGTTTTGTAACAGAATTTCGTGTAATCACTAGGCATATTGTTAACAGGATCATGTTGCATTGCTCTTGCAATGATATTCTGACCACATTTGGAGGTAACTGTAAGGAGACTCTGGTGGATGACAGGGTTTGTCCTCTGGACTAGTTATAATGCCCGTGCTCTGAGACTGGCCTCAAATGGAGGAGTTTTTACTCAGAACCAGATTTTGTGGGATCGTAGGACTGAATACCAATATTATCCAGTCCTGCACCGAGACCACTACCTCAAATAAATGAAGTGCCTCCAGCTGTCATCTGAACTGCAGCTCGTTTATTCACTTCTTTGGATTCAGTTGAAACGTTGGACTGGTGTAGAATTTTAAACATTTCTTATTTCCTGTCAGTGTAACTATTACTAATACTGCACGTCCAATCATATGCACCGCAGTGCCATGTCTGCAGGCACTGACTCACAGTATCTGTGACTGTCAGATAGTGTTTAACGTCACATTCATTTGAGTTCGTTGCTAACAAAACAACTCACCGTCAGTGCCTTCTTCTACCTAATGTGAGGCGTGAATATTTCTTCCTTTGTGAATATCTATATAATTCTGTGATATGACGACAGGATTTAAACATACACTTCTCTTCTGACTTCACTTTCAGACTGGTTTGGCTTGTTTAGTGTTTCTGGCTGAGTATTATAATTTACCTTTCAGTGTTAAGTTGTGTGTACAGAAGACTCTTCGACAGCTGGTAATTCTGCGTATTACCACACAGGAGAAGTAAAGACAAAAATGAGTGCTGCAGTAATGGGTTCATGTGTGTCATTTTTGTAACCCTGCGTGGTGGACGTCATGCGTGACTTTTTATTCCCTGCAGAAGTATTTAGGAAACCACTGGGTATTTTTGGACGCAGATGTATTTTCAGTCCAAACAGCTGGTGTTGTCCAGCCTGAGTCTGTGCTCCCCACTCCTCCACCACTGCCACATTTTGATATTGAAGGTAAATATTTTATTAGTGGTTGACATGTGGTCACCGGCGGTGGTGAAGTGTAACACGTGTCATCTGCTGCTGTTTGCGTCATTTTAATAGCAGCTCCCCGCGGCGGTGCTAACTCACTGGGATCCATTGTTTCTTTCATTCATCCATCTTTTAGCTCCTAATCCTTGTGGTGGAGGCTGAGACGCGGGAGTCAATCCCAGTGTGTGACGGCGTCGTACACCCTGAACAATTCACCAGTCCATCACAGAGCTACTGCTACAGACAAGCATTCACACTGACGCCTGTGGTCAATTTAGAGCGTGGGGGTCAACTCCGTTCACTCGAAATTTAAAACACAGTCCAAGTGGCAGGACAAACAGGATGAATGTTTATTGAGCGGTCTCGCACTGACAGTATTTTAACCAGAAAAAAACGAATCACACAGACAGATCTTTTTTCTTCAATACTGCAAATTAAAATTAAAATATCAAGCATAATAAGAATATTGTTACACGCCAACCTCAGAAAAACACCAAACTCTGTACTGTTGACTTATTCTAAGGTAACAAGATACACGTTTAGCTTTGGTGGGCCACATAAAATGACTTGGAAGACTGAAAGTGTGGAGTGTGAACGGCAGTTATTCTAGACACAGACAGTCACTACTCTCTCCTTCTGTTTTATTTTCTTATCTTTATGTTTGTTTTACAAGTTTGTTCCTGAAATGACAAGAAAAGCCAGTCTCATTCCTTGTACAGTACATATGGAGCTGTAGATATTTATCACCAAAACTAAAATAAATATCCTGTATAAACAGAGCTGCAGAGCCGTCACTTTTTTTTTTTTAAGATTAAATCGACTGTTAAATCCACACTTGTTTAAAAGCAGAAATGCTCCGACACCATCATATTGTGATCGGTTAGTGTGTCTGCATGAGAGATAGTAAAGTATTAGAGTGGATTTTTCACACGGCTGACATTATTGATTGACTGACAGAAGACGCTCTGCTGCGTCTGCCTTGTTGTGAAACTCCACACAATCAGTGTGCAGTGTCGCTAAAGGAATTCACTAATGAGCTGCTGTTAAGTGTGACTCACAGGACACGGTTTAGAGGGTATAAATAGTATAAAAGGGTTATCAGATCATCTACTTCATTGTGCCACCGTCGCCGCCATCACTTCCTTTCAAACCACGTCTGAATTCAGGCGCCCGACAGCCACTTGGTCTTTAGAGCTTAACACAAAAATACACAGAAGGAAGTTGACATTTTTATTACAAAGTCTTTCCCTCTGGGTCAGATGCTGTTGTGACAGGCTTTGACTGACAATGTGCTGTAATTTTCTGTTTCAACATTTTCCCTTCCCTTTGGTTGCTGTGTATTTATTTCCTTCTGAATGTGTTGAGTGCCTCCTTGACTAAAGCTCTTTCTAGCCCCAGGGTGTATTTCACCATGGTTTGAAAAGCATTGCGTGAGTCACCGACACACACACACACTCTCACACACACACTCACACAGAGCTGCTATGTTTTTGCCAGTGCCTAGCATTGTAATTCTTTGTTGATTACCTTAGGTTTACTCTGTTTGAGTTGCAGATTAGCTACAACTCTGCTCAGCTCCATTCACTGTGAGGACGCATAATTGCACCAGCCCTCCCAGTAATCTCCCTCCCAGTGAATGTAAGAGGTCTCTTTTGTCAATTTGCTCCATAGAAGGCTGGGGTTTTTTTGTCAGAGGAGCTGCTGAAGAATTTACTAAATTCACTCCTCACTGAATGAACGATGACAGCTACTTGCCCCATGGGTGGCCTTTTCTATTCTTTATTTTATATATATACCAGATCTGGGGCATTTCTCCAGATGAGAGCAGACGCCCAGGTTCACATAAACACGGCCTCTGTTCTGTTACCCTTGAGGACATGCAGTTTCCTCTGAGGCTCTTCAGAACCACGCTACATCGTCATGTGCTGTTGGTTTTCCGCTCACAGAAAGTTGATGTGATGCTGCGATGTGGAGTAAATGCTGGAGATGCTCTGAATAATAAATCTGCCTGTGTCTGTGTGGAACACAGGGAGCTGCAGCGGAGAAGGTGCCAGAACCAAACAAGTCCGCCCTTTAACAACCAGATGAATGGGTTTGATTGACATGTTCTGACAGCATCATTAAATAGGAGTCTGAAGTTAAAAACAGTTTGGTCTTGTCATAGCTTGGTAAACAAAGTTACCTGCAGATGATGACAGCTCTTTGGGATCAGTGCAGAAATAACAAACCATTACAAGAACGAGTATTTTCATTTTTTTTTTTACCCGCCGAGTACCACCAAGCAAAGACGTATTAAATTAGACTCTCTGTACAGTTAACACAGTCATGTGACCAGAAAGTGAGCGGAGCTTTGGTGTATTTCAATTGAAAACACTGTCTCCTTTATTCCAGTAAACAAAGTGATGTTTGTGCTAGCTAAGGCGCATCTTCATCTTATGTTTTGTGAACATACTCGTACCTCGACAGAATAAATCTGACATTCATTCTTGCTCCTGTCTTCCTGATGTGGAAATTCCTGGGACATCATTTTTTGACTAATGTGTAGCTGGTTGTGGTTCATCGCTGTCACGGAGTATGAGTATGAGTATGTGGATTTGAACGAAGTACCAGACACGATATTGATACTGGTCTCAGTATGGTGGCAGTGGTGGCTGAGGAAGCGGACTTGGCTCCATTAGCTTGCAGGTTCGACTCCGCTAGCCCCCGAGGTTCCACTGAGATGCACTGTCCCCAGACAATGTTCCTCGGAGGACTGAGCTGCCCCCTGCTGGGTTAAAAGCAGAGGCCACATTTTGCTGTTTGCGGTGGAGTTCAGTGTCACAGTGACACAAATCATTTTCAGTATGGGTAAACATCAGAAAACAGCAGAGTTATTTTTTTCAGAAAGACCTGAGAAAACCTGACGCCTGTGAGCCCACAGTCATTAAACACAGAGGTGAGAGTTTACATGAATCACGTTTAATTGTTTTCCTTGTTCATTATGTTGTATTGCCGGTGCAGGGACTTGAAAATTGAACTGTTTTGGAGAATTCTTTTTGAAGTATATGAACCAATTACTTCATCCGACACACCACTCTAATGTTCCGTCGCTGCTCTATTTATCTGTGATTGCTTGTTGATTGATCTAATGAAATAATTGGATGTTGCCGATCAGCTTCTCACTCTTTTCGCTAATGGCTGTTTAATTTGACCACCTTTTGAATGGGTTCCATTTATATTCCGGTCTGAACTTGAATTTTTAATCAGTGCACGTCATTCTGATAGTTTCCATGTATCTGCGTCACACGGCACTCTTGTAGACACGACTATAATTCAAGTATTGACACCTACGTAATTGTCCAATTTGCTAAAAAAAAAAAAACATTCTCTATCCGTCGTACTCTTCCATACCAGCTGCAAAGAACAGAGCTCCACTGCTCTGTTGCGCCGCACACCCACAACAACTATGTCCAATAGAATTTGAAACAATGACAAATTGTTAAAAATGTTACCACATAGATACTCAATGATCCTAGACTCACATCAGAGTTAATGAAGTGAGGTCAACTGTACTAGGTCTCTGATCTTACTTTACGTTTTTAATTCATACCCATGTATAGAAAAGGTTAACATTGTGGGAGAAATTAAAAAAATAATAGTTGTATACTTTAGCCATAAACATTGTTTTACTTATTAATCTATTTATCGATCAAAAA